CCTTATGAGTTGATAGCACTAGACTAAAATATAAGCGTGACAGGATAGCAGTCGGTCCGAAAAGTCTGATGTATTAATTGTATAAATGCTTTTTACTGGGAATGAAGTCATGAACTGATGTAGAAAATTTCTTCTGTGATGTAGGGCATATCCTACTCTTATGTTGTTCAATAATGGTATCCCCACTGAATATCGTGGACCAAGGCAAGCAGATTTACTTGTTCGTTACCTGAAGAAGTTTGCTTCTTCTGATGTTTCCATCCTTGATTCAGATTCTGCTATCAGTGACTTTGTTGAAGCAGCTGGAACTTTTTTCCCCATATATATTGGTTTTGGGTTGAACGATTCAATGATTGAAAAGTTAGCCCAAAAATATAAGAAAAATGCATGGTTTTCTGTAGCTAAAGATTTTTCAGAGGATGTTATGGTATTATATGATTTTGATAAGGTACCTGCTTTGGTTTCCATTAACCCAAGTTACAATGAGCGGAGCACTTTTTATGGTCCATTTGAAGGTTAGTTTGCACTTAAATGATTATTGATAGTTTGCAGTTGAATAATCACGGATAATTTGCATTTATCTTATACTGGTTAGTACTTTGTAAATATCGTTTCCCTGTACTTACACATCTCTTGCTATTTGCCTTGGGTTTAACACTTCCTGGATTATGTGCCTGCATCGCTACTTTGATGATGACATGATGGTCAATCCATTTATGATGCTAATTTAGAAAAGGTCTTTTTAAGCTCCAATTGCTCGTGTAGGAGGTGCATTTTGGTGAACATATATGATGGGCAGAGACCTGTTGGTCAGTTAAATTTACAGCTTGTATGGTGTATAGAGGCTTTTGTATTTTCCCTTGCTGTTTCTATCATCAGATATCATACGAGTAGCATATGAATAATGACTGGAGTTAAAATGATGCATAATTAGTTGGTCTGAAATGCAGCTTTTATTGCAGGTAACAATTTAGGTAGGTGAAGAACTTTAGTACATTATTGATGGCACATTTTTCTTCTTAACATGATGTGAGTTCAATGTCAACAATACACCCACACCCACACACATGCATACAAAATCGTGTCTGTGGAATGTGAGTTCTTCCGTCACATCATAATGCTTTATTCATCATTATTAACCGCTATTTATGCTTCAACTTGGATGCATCATGACATGGTTTTTGGTTTGTCATGCTCTCATTTTAAATGGCAGAGGAATTTCTGGAAGATTTTGTTAAACAAAACCTGATCCCTTTAGCTGTTCCTGTATCCCATGACACACTGAAGTTGATGAGTGCTGATGGGAGAAAAATTGTTCTAACAATTGTGGAGGATGAAAACGAAGAAAAAACAAAGGAACTGATTAAGTTATTGAAGGCTGCTGCATCTGCAAACCGTGACTTAATATTTAGTTATGTTGGGGCTGCACAGTTGGAGGAATTTGCAGAAAAATTTGACACCAGCACTAAACTACCAAAGATGGTCATTTGGGATGGAAGTGATGATTACCTTGCTGTAAGTCTCCGCATTCTACCTTACAAGGAATTATTTTTCTTATTCTACATATTGCTCTCTAAGTGATACCTGATTTCCATTTTCCATATCATGTATAATCTCGAGTTTACATTTTTAGTGTCTTATCAATTAGCATATACATGTATTGAGTATAATACAACATTTCAAAATTTATGAATATACATAGGTCAACATTTTCAGAGGGCTATGCGAGACTTGAGATGCCTTAGTATGAGTAGTTCACCAATCTTCTTACAGTTTCATGATATTGGTGTACATAATGGTCATTAAGTCACAAACTATTAGGTCAAGTGAATTGTTTAAAATTTGGTGCAAATTGTTGGCATTCAATCTTCTTTACTCTTCTTCGTGCCTTGTCATTGATTTTATTGCAGTATCTAATTGGAAATGTGACGGCCTTAAAGGTCAACAGCGTCTATTTCCCCTGTTATAGTCTGATGCTTCTATTCAATTTAGCGTACATATCTGTGCTATGACCTAATCACTTCGAATAATGATGATTCTTCAATATCACATCAAACATATACTGCAGACAGGATTAAAATGCCCTTGTTCATCATAAATGTTCAACAAGTCCTTCTTTCATGCGAAACTTTCAAATATCCTGTTTTACCTTTCACTTGATTAATGCATGAGGAGTATTTGATTTCCATCCTGCTGTTCGCACTACTTAAAACTTCGCTTGCTATAAACAAGCATATTAACTTAAATCATATGTTTGATGCTTACTTTTTTCACTCAAATTTCCATAACCAATTGTTTTTGTTTTAATGATTTTCAGGTTGTTGGGTCTGAAAGCATAGATGGGGAGGATCAGTCGACCCAAATAACTAAATTAATAGAAGGGTACAGAGAAGGCAAAACATTACAGAAAAGAACTAGTGGCCCTTCACTGCTAAAAGTAATCCATAGATCATTCGACATCAGAGTGGTTTACATTTTTGTGTTTGTGGTGGCTGTATTGATGCTTATTCAGACCTTGTACAAAGGAGACGATGATTATGAGAGAGTGCCAAATCAAGACCGGGGTGATCATGCTAGAAGCTCTGTCATGGAGGGTCAAAGCAAAGAGTATAAACCTGGAGACAAGCAAGATTAAATTAACACATTGGCAGCCTACTTAAAACTGACCAGGGACATTTCGCAGCATAGCTTCTGGCTCTGGAATCAACATGCCTATTGGGGAGCCTAGTAACTACGGAGAGGTTTTAAGTTTCCTTTTAGGGTGGCGCTGAATATCTCCATTTTGATGTGCCTACTTCTATTAGTTCCTTCATAGCCTCAATGTGGCTTTACTTGTACAATATTGTGATATGTTCAGAGGCTGCTCTTCCCTCAATGGCGGACATTTATGAGACCTGGATGATGGATAACAGTTTTAAGCCCTTCAACTGCAGATCGCAAGTTATAATGACTATAGCTCGTTTAGTGACAATGCGATCACAATTTCATTGAAAACATCTAATGACTGCACCATGTTTTCTGCTAGGGATCCATCCTCAAATCTCGGTTATTATTTGTTTATATGGAAGCTATGTTTTTTTTTTTCTTCCCCTTTTTTTGGGTTCGTTTGCTTATATGTTGATGGCATGACGTTTTACAATACAAGTCTTACTTGTTACTTGTCTGACTAGTCCAGAAGTAATTATGTCAGTGCATTAGGCAAGCAATTATTACAAATTAAAATTAATCCTTCACATAGTCACGTGATTATCAAAATACCTTCTCTCGAATTCCGCTTCATTGACTTCCCCTCCCCTTTGACCGGGGGAAGACAAATCCTTCCTGCAGGAAATATTTTCCTACGTGTGAGAGGACCAAATTATCCCTGACAAGTTCCTTGCGGCTTCACGTCTAGTTAGAATTTGTTGATTGATATTATAGCCCGGCCGGCAAGTAAAGGATGGTCATCGGCAGGTTATCTTGAGATGGAATTATGCCATGAATGGGCATTTTCTTATCCCCATGCATTTTCTAAACTATCGCATTTATTTAATAAGCATCCAAAATTTTTAAAAGCATTCCTTTTGATGCAGTTACTTTCTCATTTTCCACTGCATTATATGCATTTTTCAATGTGGCTTTCTCTGATGAATTGTTGGCAGTGTTTCATTCCACCTCTATGGAGATCCTCGTGTCCAGCTTGTGAGCGTGATGCAAAAACTGGATTACCTTATCCGCCACCTTCAGAATCTATAAAGCGAGAAAATGACTCATTTTAAATAAATCTCTGCCTTGCAGTTACAGATTGTCTAGCTGGACTCTAGATGCTCTTAAGATATGGCCGTCCCAAATATATTTCAACAATACTGGGCCCAAGCTCGGACCAAATATATTTTTATTTATTTAATGTCATTATGAAATTGACATAATGCATTCGAGATACTTCCCATCTTAAAAAAAAAAAAAAGATACCATAATACACTTAAATTAAATTAATATGTGTAGGAGTGTGACTGTGCGTGACCTGCATTATGTTGATTACAGAGAGATTTAATTGAAGAAAGTTTAATCAGAGTAATTATTCGAGAGTTTGAATTAAATAGATGTCCCAAATTTGAAAAGTGATGTTATATATACTTTGAAGAGAATGAGGTGTGTGCATGAATAAGCATTCTGCGGTGATGCTTGATTTTTAGCATGTATTGTAAATTTAATATTTGTCGGCTTTTTTATATGAAGGAGCGGAAGAACAATATAGGACAAGAAAATGACTGATTTAGTTGCACCGTCAGTATTTAATTTGTGATATCTGTAATCCACTTAGCTTGCATCGAATGCTTATGGTGTAAAATAAGTAATGTAACATCAAATATAAATGGGTTTGTAGAGAAAGGAGCTAACATTGAATATGATGAAAAGATTGAACGCATGAGTTAATTGCTATTAGCTGTATTCATGAGATAGTGGTTTTCAGTTTTCATAAACATGGATTGCAAGCATATCTTGAAATCATAAGATTAAATAAATTTGTAGAGGGTGAGCACAGATAAAAAGATTACATGTGATCAGTATGATGATAATGAGCTTATTTTCCAGGGCGTTGGTGTTAGAATTTCGAGCTATCCTTCAATGTATGGTCCTCAGGTCGTGAATGCTAATATTAATATAGCCATCATCCACCACGCTTCATCGTCTTCTGTTTTCATATATGCTTTTTTTCATTTCTTGGTGACCTGTGGGTTGGATGAATTGAAATTATTCACAACGGATCTATTTTCTGTTCTTATTCTAAACCTTTTAACTTTGAACTATCGAGATAGGCATTATATTAAACATAATATATCCTACTTAATGCAAATCCTCCTAACTAAAGAGATTGCCATTTCGACAATTGAAAAATATTTTTTGTTAGTGACTTTACTTTTAATATATATTTCAAATATTGTTATCGTCCTGGCCAAAAAACTAAATTGGTGATATATTCAGACTAAATCAAAACCAAACACACACGAACGCACGTAGCAGGCAAAGAAGCCATGCATCTAGCCAGTGCTCCGTAAATGATATTAATATATAGATTATAGAACAGTCAACAGAACTCTTATATTTAAATGACTTGGATCACGGTAATCTTATTTTTTAAAATAATCCCTCTTGATAATAAATTGTAATGAAGGCAGAGGAATCTGAATAAAAGAGTACTCTTGTGCCATATTGTCGATACAGACGGACCCATTCACCATAACTTGAGCCCTGCGCAGTCGAAATCTCAATTATCATATAGAGTTGGATGCTTCCTATGCATTCACTATTATATTATTGCACGGCCCTATGCCTATTAATTAATTATCAATTGAAAATGCAATATAAACCAAAATAATTGCCATGATTTTTAAAGCAAATATATATACACTTTTACCTGGACCAAAATCTCATTAGACATTAAGGCAGTTACGCTGCAGATGACCGGTGCTTCCTCACTTTTAAATATTTAAAACTGATCCCTCCAACTTTTAATTTTATTTTTCAAAGCTCCCACCATTAATTAACTCTGTTTTTATGCTGTTAACAAAGTTTGTCATGATAGATTAATGCAATATGCTGACATATGACATGGAAAAAATATTTTTAATATTATTTTTCATTACACAATTTAGCCTTATTTCATACTAGTACCGGAAAGGACCCAACACAATTAACTAACAACAACATGTACGCTTGCAAAGAAATAGACCACATCAAATCAAGCCCTGATTCTAAAAATGTTTTTTTTTTTTGAAACCCTAATTAAGAATTAAGAAATCACATTCACCTATGGATATATACCAAAGTCAAATAATTTCGCACTCTTTCCACAGTGGTCCAGCGCACGATTATAATCCCCACATGGAGTAATGTAAATTTCACTCATAATATGGCCGTCATCACATGAAATCCAGAACATCCATGTATTGTATAGGGCACATTTAAATGTCAAATAATGCCAAAACCATTATATTTAGTTTTTTATGAACATAGGATCAAATTGATTTAAGTAAGCATTGTCTCTACTCCCTGTTTGTACTAAAGTAATGCAATAACTCGGGTTTCCAAACACCGGTTTGTCTTCACAAATATCAGAAACTAAAAAAACAGATAAAAAATGAAATACCTCTATTTTTCTTAATGCCGACAAGAACGCCAGCACATTTCAGCGAGCCAGGAATCTCCGAGATCAGAAAGCTTATGGGAATCGGTGGCTATCGTGTCCATTATTATTTCTTCTACACAAAGCTCCGCCAACACTTGAGGAAAAAAAGAAAAAGAAAAAAGAAACACGAACACTCAATATAATACGACACTTGAGATAAAACATGTACATATCAAAGTCCATTGTCTGTATATGGGACAGTGTCCGTGTTTCTTTAACTTCTCGTTCCTCTGGAACTCGGAAGATGAACCAGAGATTCAGAAACGGCACAGGTTCTCTTGCAAGAAGCAAACAGACCGATGAACTCAAAACGATTACTAAGACTCCTCGAAACCTTGGTCACATTATTGGTCCAGAGACTGCTACTGGAAGCAGCTTCTTCGTGACGATCGTAATCGCTCTTAGACTTTGAGCATTCAACCAAAGCAGCAAAGAAAGGATCCCTCTGAAAGCCACCCTGAACGGAATTCTTCTTCCGGTCTTCAAGACGAGTGGTCGTTGGAGGAGGCAGCGGCAAGAGTTTGTGGGAGGGGGAGGATCCGATCTTGGGGACGTGATTCTTGGGGATTCCGGGAAAATGTTCCCAAGAGAATGGGATTCGGGAGATTAATCTCAGAGGGGTTGCGGGACCGAGCATGGAGTCATCATGAGAATGCATTGATTGATCGAGCGAGGAGGAGGAGGAGGCAGCGGAGGATGGGGATGAGGAGAAGGACGGAATCCGGCGAGAAGAAGGGCATTTTCCGGCGCGGTGGAGTTGGTGGTTACGAGCTGCGGAAGAATCCATAGGAGATTGGGAGCTTTTTGGCGAGGAAGAGAGAAACAGAGATGAATAGAAGGACGTGCGTGCTAGTTCGCTATACCTGTTTTTGTTGTTGGCAAAATTTATACGGCTAGCTCGTTAACGAAGGAGGAACTCAATTTTATTTAATTCTTTTTTAAATTTTACATACATAAGTATATTTTAGCATTTTCATTTTTCAACGGCTTCAGTCTATGTACTCGATAAATTTTCAGACACAAAATAGCAATGAAAAACGATGAAAATTTATGCTTTTGGTTCTTATAAATTATATTTATTTTCAATTTGATCTTTCTAATTTAAAAATTTGCAATTGAATCCTCATAATTAAATGCATTTAATTAATGGCTTATAAAATGTCTCCATGATATAAAGCACTTATATATATATATGTGTGTGTGTGAATGAGAGTTGTATATATAACATAGCATAAATATTTTCATATGTTCACAATCAATTTTACAAATATATAATCAAAATCAATATGAACTTTTATTTTTTTAAATTCTGCTTGTCAATTCATGACATAAAAATAATAATAAATTTTTTAACAATTTTTTTTAATATAAATTATTGTTAAATTAATAAAAAATTATCTTGCATCTTGTTGTGAAGTTTTGTTTTTATAATTTTTATGTCAAAAAAAGTTAGTTCAATGGTTGCCATTGTCGTCAGAAGAGGTAGTATAGATTTTAATAATATGTCAATCAAATAATAAAAAATTAGATTTTTCAACCTCTATAGACATAATTCATCCATAATAATCAAGTTATAAAAATTAAGATTTTTGAACACATCAAGCTCAACAACGTTATCATTCATCCAATTGAATCTTTTCTTAGTCAAAAAAAAGAGTAAATTTTTTCAACAAAATTGCAAAATATTCCTAGCATTAAATGATTTAAATGTACTATTAGAATTTAAAGTTATGCTAAATATAAGAAGCTTTGTTGCTTGCCCACTTTATCTATTATTTAATTCTTTCAAAATTGATAATTTATAACAAATTAAATATATCAATATAATAATAATGCCAAATTGTTACTAAAATTTTGTGTCAATGAAACCAAATTATATCAAATCAAAACACAATCCACATCGGGAATGTCAATAGTTTAGTTGTTGCAATGAATAAATAAATTACTTTCTTCTAGAAATCATCCCATCCTAAAAATAATCTCTTAACTTTTGAATAAATTATTATTAAATTTTAAATCAAGTTAAATTCTTTTAGTATTAAATATATTTAAGAGGTTGAAAATGTATGATTCCCACAATTTACTTTTTTTAAAAAAGTTAATTAGGGGTTAATGGCCCTTAGGGCCTTTTGCTTCCACCATTGAATAAGAGTAAGACAAAATATGAAATAAAATAAAGATAGAGGTCATAAAGCCATGTTGTGTATAGGGTGGCGCATATTCATACAAGGTTTTAGTGAGATACATAGAATTAGTAATTTGAGTCAAATTTAAATGCCAGTTTAAATAAGTTATAAAATAAAAAAAATTAATCATTTGTTTATCATTGCAATTTAAAATTAATAATAATTCAATCTCTAAGCTCATTGTAATTTAATTTAATTCTTATTCAAATTGGAGCAAATTCAAACGTAGGTGACGCTTTAGTGACATGGGGACTGGCTGGCAGGGGAAATGGATTGCATTGAAATAAATATTCTAACTTACAATTACAAAAACAGCTTAAAATAAAAATCAAATCTCATTTGCTTTATTTTGGCCTCTTAACTGTCTATCATTTTATAGAAATATAATGCATACGCAATTGCTTGAACTTCACACATCTCCGCATAATAAATTCCCCAATTTCTCGTTATAAATACAACACGTCCCAAAATAAATGCGCAGCATACCTGTTTGTCCCTTTCCCAAATTTATTTTCTCCTCATTGTTTTCAAACTTGTCTCTGTCTCTGTGTTTTCACTTCATCTTTTTAAATTTAAGTATAAACAATTTTAATTATTAGATCTCCTTACGTAATTTACAATTTTTTCAATTTAGCTCTTGCTATTAAAGCTAACACTGATGCTATTTTTGTTATGTTAATAAGAGAGACTGTTATAATATTAAAGTAAGATTAATCACGTATTACTTGTCTTTGGCCACAAAAAAAAATCATATATTTGTCAAAATATTAAAAAATTAATAATGTATATTTGGATAAATTTCAAAACGCACGACAAATGCTTATGAGTTCACTTGAAAGCTCGTTTGAATTCCTAGAGTTCCAAATTCATTCTTCCATATAAACAACTAGCCACAATCCCGTGCATCGCACGGGTATACCTGATAAAAAGAATTAAATTTAAGTAATGATAATATAGTTCATATAATTATAGTCATAATATGTGGCATGTGGTGAAGAAAGAAATGTGATAATACTTAACAAAAACTATTGTATTTGGCCACAAAAGAGTTCAATAAGGAAGTCATTATTCACTACATAAGCAGCAAAAAAAAAAAACAATGTTCATAAACAAATCATGCATTTATAGCTTGAAGGTTTTGAAAGATCTCATAAAAGACCACATTGGTAGTGGTTGACTTAGCTTGTTTATCAATGTCATGAATCAATATTCTCAACCCATTTATGCTTCTGACTCTAGAAAGTGCAACATACAGTTGGCCGTGTGTGAAAATTGGTCTTGGCAGATAAAGACCAACATTGTACAATGATTGGCCTTGACTTTTGTTTATTGTCATTGCAAATGAAAGAATGATTGGGAACTGTCTTCTTTGCATGCGGAAAGGCCATCTATTTTCAGAAGGATTCATATCCATCCTATGTATAAGAACCTTTTGATTTGGGCTTGAACCATTAAGTGTCACTGCTTCAATTACACATTTCCAAGCTTTGTGATTCGCAATCTTGTACCGTTACATAATCCCGACGCTTGGTCAACATTCCTGAGAAGCATTACCGGTGCACCAATCTTGAGTGTAAGTTTATGAGGAGGTAGACCAGAACTATTAATTGTGTTAAGGAACTCAGTAGTGTAAAGATCCTCGAATGAGTCACTTTCTTGTGATGATCTGCAAACAGAATCACAACTGAAATATTCTACCGATTCACCAGGCAAAATACCACACATGAATTCATTTATCTGGTTAACGCACTCAAGAGTTGGTGCAAGGATTGCCCGATCATTGAAATATGCTGTGTTGGACAAATTATCCAATAAGTCTGGGTATGTAGATGACACAATTGCAGCCAAAGGATCCTTGTATGAAGTAATCAATATCTCTGATGGAATTTCAATATCTACAATGCCATCATTTGATTCTCCAACCCTGCCATCTCCAATATCTAGTAACCATTGTGAGAATTTCTCTATTTTTTCACGATCAGAAGAGGATGAAGATGATGTCAACCGCATGTTCTTCGTCAATTTATATATTTTGCAATAACTCCACAAGTACGAAGAACTTATGGATGCATTGACAATATCTGCCCTGCTACCTTTAGGAATTACAGGTAGAATTTGACGAAAATCACCTCCCATGACTATAGACTTCCCTCCAAATGGTAGATCACAATGCATTATATCTTTGAGTGAGCGATCAAATGCTTCTATACAATGGCGACGTATCATTGGAGCTTCATCCCAAATGATTAATTCTGTTTGTTGCAACAAATATGCAAGTGGGGATCTCTGGCTGATGTTACAGACTGAATCTTCATTTATATCAATTGGGATTGCAAATCTTGAGTGTGCAGTTCTTCCTGATGGTAACAAAGTAGCTGCAATTGCACTTGATGCAACAGCAAGAACTATCTTCCCTTTAGAGCGCAATGTTGTAGTTAGAGCATTCCATAAAAATGTTTTACCAGTACCTCCATAACCATATACAAAGAAAAAGTTACCAACATGTGAAGATGTAGAGGCAATGATACATTGGAAGATCTCTTGTTGTTCATCAGTCAATAATTGTAATAATCTCTCAGATTGATCTTGTAATGCAACTTTGTCATAATTTAATTCTTGCATGATTAAATGATTTTCAAAATTTAGAATTGGAGAATTCTTAGGCTTAGGAACAGAAGGATAGTGAGAAAGGCTTTTTCCATTACTTTGTAAGAGTGATTCAATCTCTTTGAGAGCAGCTTCTTCTTTATCTTCTTGTGAAATTTGCAGACCTGTAATAAAATAATAATAAAAATAAGTGTAAGAAAAACATGTGATATATATAAGTGAATTAAATAAATTTTAAATTTTTTTAGACTAATATTTACTTGAGTATGTTTCATCATTGTGTGGAATGTAAAACAAATCCTCTGAAAGTATCTTGGAGCTTTCTTTCCAAACTATGTCAGGGCGACTAAGGCAACAACACAACAACATGCTGACAAACATTTTTCTCAACGTTATCCCTGTTGCCCAAATTGATGCTTCTTTAATTGCATCTATATATTCTTTATCATCATCTAGAAGTCCACGTGCATAACATGCTTCTCTAAAAGTGGGGTACACAATATTATCAACAGTTTTGATCTCATCATATGAACGTGGCCCTTTAACCTTAGTCAATAGAATACGAAGGTAATATCTCTCCCCAGATGCTGGTGATGCATGACCTATCCGACCCACTGCGAAACCCTTTTCCCTTTTTTTCCACAACCTATTATTCCGTTGCCACACATAATATTGAGGGAATTCACCATATGTAAGTGATCTTGCAAATTTATCTTTCTTATCTTGATTACACTTCATCCAAGCAAGAAACATCGACTCACAGACTCTTGGTTTATTAAGCAATGAAGAAACATCTTGATCACCAGAGTATACAATGTACTGCTCATTAGGAAGGTGGAAACTTAATCTCTCAACAGAGGGGTACCTGTGGTGGATATCAAATGCAAATATTCGCCAACAGCCTTCACAAGAGGAGACATACCTACAATCATAGTACTGCTTGATCTCATCAATGATGGATTGGCCCCCTTCACCAGAACTTGAATAAAGTGAAGCAATAACTCTATCATTTCCTTTGTTTATGTACTTGAACAAATATTTGATAGAAGTTGATTGATTTGTTTTCTCAATATTGACATGAGCCTGGAACTTGTAAAGAAGATAAGAATTATATGGCACAACAAAACGATTATCTAAAGGAACACCATTTTTTTCTATTGTTCTACCATCATCTCTCCTTTTATACGTCGGGTAGCCATCTTCATCAACTATTGTTTTGTCATTAAA